AATCTCACTCTCTTACTCTTTCCACGTTTTATCCCGCCTCCTCTTCCCTCCTCCCCTCTTCCCTTTCGCTGTGTCGTCCACCTCTCCCTGTCCCTTCCCTCCCCTCCCCTCCCTCCCTCCCTCCTCTCTTACCGCTTCCAGCTTCACTGTACAAATGCTGCTGGCCAGAGACACCGTCACATCTCGCACAGCTGGGCTCCTCTTCAGCCCCTGCTCGATCCTCCTCACGCATGCCCCACACGTGATCCCTTCGACTTGGAAGCGCCTCCTCTCTTCAGGGCAAGTCGAGCCGAGCAGGCAGACAGGGCTTGCCAGATGCTCCTCCAGCGTCTTGAGCAGAAGACTCTTGTCAAGGGAGGACGACGAGCTGATGGTGACGGTGCGGGTGTGACGGTTGATGTCATAGCCAGTCACTTTCAAGGGAGGATGGAAGGAGGAGGAAAAGGAGGAGAGGGAAGAGTCGGTCGAGGAGGGAGGAAGACGAACGGGGAAGGAGGAAGACTGGAGGCAGGATAGAAGCTTGTTCAACTTGATCACCACATCCTCCGATCTCAGATCTGGAACGTAAAACGTAGCAGAGCAAACGTCACTATGCTCCTTCTGACTGTCGGAAGTCCGTTCCGTCTGTTCCATTCCTCGATGCTCTCCTCCTCCTCCCCCTCCTCCTCCTCCTCCTCCTCCTCCTCCACTCATTGCCCCGGCCCCGGCCCCTCCTTCTACCCCCTCTACTGCCGTGCATCCGTACCCCGCCGCTATCACCGCTCCTACAAGCTCCGACGTCGCTCCTCCTTCCACGTACGCCCTACCCCCTTCCAGCTCCACCCGCACCTCCTTCACGCCATCGATAACTCGCAGCGCCTTCTCCACCCGCCCGACGCACTTCCTGCATGTCATACCCTCAACGATGAGCCGTGCAGGCATTGCCTTAGAGTTTCTCTCACTCTCCTCCTCCAGGGCCATCACATTCTGTGAAAGCGTTTAGCTGAACTTGTCGATGACCTGCAGACCTGAAGCGTCACATGCTTGCAACCTTCACCACATCTTCAGAGCTCTCCTCTGTTCTGCTCTGCCATGAACGTTCCTCTCCTCTCTCTCCTTAAGCTTCAACTCTCTCTCTCTCTCTCTCTCGATCTCGATCTCGATCTCGATCTTTCTTTTTCTTCCCCTGCCTGAGGCCCCTTGCATGTTGTACATCGACCAACCAAAAGCTAGAACCTTGGCTCACGTCCCTTACCGTTACATGACGGTTACAATCCTGTGGATCCGAGCCTGAGGGGCCGACCGTGGCGGCACAGTGGCCGGGCCGGGCCGTGACCGTCACTGAGGCTCACTGATCCCGGCGCTGCGGCGGCGCCCCCGGTGGCCGGGCCCGGCGGGCTCAAGCTGGCCGGGCGGCGGCCGCGACCTCATCGAGTCACCGAGTCGTCTCGACCTTTCAAGTACCGTACTGTTGGAGTGCGGCAGTGCCCATGTTGACTTTTTCTGAACGATTTTGGAACTTCGGAACTTTTGCCAAAAAAATCTCAAGCAATTTCGTGGTTTTTACAGTTGTTATAGTGCAGAGCGCTGGTCACGGTACCGGTACGGCATCATGTGTTACCGCTGATCTCCCCGAGTCCCGCCGGCCGGCCCGGGCTCCCGGCCTAGCCTGGTACCAAGGCATAAGAACAGACACTCTTAGCTTGTGTCTTGTATCTAAGAAAGACCCTCGACCCATCTTGTTAGTGTTTCATTCAACGAATTATTTCATCCCATTGCCATACTCTAGACCATTTTCGAAAACTTCACCTTGTGACAAGGCATCTTTCTTCGACAGTGAGAAGCTCTTTGTGTAGAACGAGTTCCCCTCTTGAAGCTTCAACGAGTTCCTGTGGTCTCTTGAGTACGATTGAGAGAGGATCTCTTTTCGCATTAGCTTCCTTCTCTTCTGCACGTTCCCTTCTATGAATGAGAACTTCTCATGGAAGCATCTCAAATCCGAAGAGATTCTCTCGAGATCCAGAACAATTGGTGCATTGTGCAAATTTGCCATCTCATCAATGATCTCTTCTGGACACTTCCCGCTCACGAGCTCAGTTTGATATCGGTCTGCTTTTCAGCCGAGGCGATCGCAAGTCCTTTCAAGGCCTTCATCACACTGTCAATATTGTCGCTGTTCCATCCAGCGATTCCGACCTTGCTTGCGAAATGCAGTTGAAGTTTGGTGTACCTGAACATGACCAGCCGTAGCATGCAACCGAACCCAGCCTTGGAGAGGAGGCCACTCTTGCTCGACAGACCAGCGTACTCGACAAACGCATACCAATCCTTCAGCTCGAAGATGACGGGAGGCATCAGCCTCATCTCGCGGAATGCTGACTGAAGCTCCTTGAAAGACATCGACTCCTGATCATGCGTTTCATCCATGCAGTTCCCCTTAGAAACACATACAGCTTTCCACAGTTTGCCCAGCCGGACCTCCAGGTCTTCAAGGTCGACGCTGTCCAGTAGCTGTTCGACAAGAGACTTCAAGCCAAATACGCTTCTCTGGACATACATGACATTGGGGTCTTCATAGGGTCGTAGATTCACTCCAGTGTTGTTGCTCGGCGAAGAGCAAAACTTATCCACAAGCACGCAGATCACGATGTTGACCAGAGTGAAAGTGATGATCAACTGATAGCTCACAAAGAAAATACCAACACCCGCAGGATTTCCTGTCTGTATAAACAATTGTCGAACAATATCAGACCAACCATCGCCTGTCATAAATTGCCACAAAGTGAACATTGCTCGGAAAAACGTGCCAAAGTCTTCTACAGTGTAGGAAGCAAAAAAGTTGACGCACATCATGGCGTAAATTGAGGCAATCAGAAACAACAAAAGATATGCATTGGCCATCGCTGGTATCGCTTCAAAGATTGACTCTACAATCCTTTTCAAGCTTGGCACGCGCTTGAAAAGTCGGAAGACACGAAAGGTACGCATCAATTTCAAACTGTTTGAACCAGGAAAATTTCCAGCAGCTATCGAGAGAATTCCAAAGAAAACGACAATGAAATCAAAGTGATTCCAAGGATCCCTGAAGAAGTCTCGGAAAAGGTTTGCAAACAAGTTGATGGAGAGTTCAAAGGCAAAGATCAATGTGAAAGACATGTCACAGAAATCTAGAAAGTCCAAAAAGCTTGGAGGTAGCTGAGAGCTGATTATGTTTATCCCGAAATTAAAACAAATGAAGGCAGCAACAACAAGCTGGAACTGAGGCTTCATATAAAAGTATCTCACTTTCCACCTCAGAAAACCAAGGCGATTAACATGGCACATTTGAGAAGCTGTTTCATACTTCAAGGCTCTTCGAAGACATTCAACCCAAAAGTCTCTCTCTTCCTTTGTCTGACATTTGAATTTGAGCGGTTGTCCTCGGAAATGACCGAACGCACTAGTAAGAAGAACAAACTCCTCATCCCCTGCCTGCAGGGCACTTACAGAATGAAGAGCTCGTCTCGATAGTGTTCTTCCTGGGAAGAGATTAGCATGTTCAGATTCAAACAATTTTGATAGGTCGTCAACATGCTCAGATTCGTGCAAGGAGGTTTGTCGTAGAAACGCATTGAACTTGTACTTAACATCCTCGTGGGCTTGCTCAGCACAAAGCGAAGTAGCAACGCCTATGATATCCCCGTAGGACACGATCAAAGGAAGTGCTTCGTTCAATCTAGCAGAGACTTTCAAGCCTTCGCCGTTAAGCTGCACTAATCGGTGCGAGTATGAATATGTACATCTCATCCATTCCTTGCAGTGCAGTTTTAGCCATCCCTCTGTTCTGACCTCCTTTAGAGGCCTTCCATCTTCAAAGAACTGACGAGTGTTGTTCCAAGCCTCAGAGAAATGTCGCCTTGTCGATAGTAATCGTGGCGTTTCATTCAGTTGGTGGTCAGCCTTCAACTTCCTGCAAGCATAAAAAAGTGCCATGTTCGAGAACTGACGATGCAGGCACCGCGACAGTACTTTTATGATAGCATGGAGTTGTCAGAACCCTTGAGAAGAACTATCCAACTACACATGTCAACAAGAAAAAGGCGTCAAGGTGTCTTCTATGCTCACGCTCTTGCTGTAAAGTTTGCATCATCATCCTGCAGTCCAAGCAAAGGTAGCATCATGAATGCATTGACGTGATATCACCCATGACCCTTACAGCTTCATGATCACAATATAATGATTCTCACTCATCACATCATGGATGTCTGCAGATAAGTTCCCTTCCTATGTGAAGCATGGTCCTGCGCATCTTGCCCGGTGGTTCAACCATGCATCTCATTTGCAATGACACATGCCGTGCTCGATTAGGTCCTTCTCACATTCACCACCCTCCTGTATCTCCCTGTCACCACCCCCTCCCCGGCATTACTTCGAACCGTGATCTACCCTACACCCCACCCTGGGCCTAGCCCCCACCCCTACGGTGATTTTTTGAGGCCCCAATCTCCAGGGTGGGTCCATCCACCACCCCTCCCTCCTCATGTATAGACTTCTTTGATCCCACCACCCGGTCCTTACACATATCCCCTATCTCCCCTAGAAATTTCTATCTCCGAACCCACCCCCTGCAAACCTTTTTTCCCCGTCTTTACTACACTGCCTGAAGATCACGAAGGGCTTGAAGGAATGCCGCTACCCCCACCCCCACCCTCACCTCCACCCCCACCCCCTCCCATTTTCACGACTGACCCCCCCTCGACTCCGAGGCTCATTTTGGGAATTTCCGAGCCTCACCCTCACCGCCCCTACCACTGTCAAGTACCCACGGGTCCTACTAGGCTGTATTCAGAAAGAGTTTTCGACCAACTGCAGGGCACTAGGCTACATATAGTACCCCCCCCCCCTAGGCCTCGAAGCAACCGTCTGCCAGGTGTCGTCCCGGTCACTACTAGCAGCAAAAAAAAGCAGCAGCTCACCACCCTACCCCATGAGGTCTCAGCCCTTCTTAGCACCGTCAAGTACGGAGTGTTCGGAGTGATGACTCCCCTGCCCTGGCACGGGCCCGGCCAAGTTTCTGCCAGGCTGGTCAGTGACCCGGCTGTGGTCAGTGGAGTCAGAGTTTACTCTGAAAGTTGAATAAGTTACTTCAAGCCGGGCTCAAAGTTACTAAAAGTTAGGTTGAAAATCAATGTGTGACAACACTGTGACACTGTGATCGGACAGCCTGTCCGAACAAGTTTCCTGGTGAGTCCGAGTCACCGCGCGGCCCGGCCCCCGCGGCCGCCGGGGCACCCGGAGCCACGGCACTGTGGCAGGCCTGCCAGGCTTCGGCCCGTGCAGTGCGGCCCAGCGGCGGGGCCCGGGGTCCGGCGGGCCGCCATTCAACGGTTCCAACGATACTTGGCAAGGTTAATCGATACTTACCGTACTACGGTACCGTGGCTTGAGTGGCGACATTGATAACAAGTGGCTCATCTTTCCGAGCGGCGGCCCTGCCAAATTACAGTATTTACGTTAGCCAGGGACCGTGACGTTCCGATCACTTTAGTTGATCATCCGATGATCGGCTGCAACAAATCTTCCGACAAGGCTTCGGAAAGTTCCATTTTTAGTTAAATCACCCGGCCAAGATGGCATCATGTTTCGAGGCCTCCCAAAATTCAGTTGATACTGAAGTAATCCTAATAACGACAGACAAGCTCTCGTTCTGCGTTAGACCATGATCTTTGTGGGGTATGCCCACCTCACAATACAGGCCCCTGAGATCCATGCGCAATCCTTTCAAGAGGATCAGCCTTGCTTCTGTGCAAATGAGCCTTCTGGCTACCGACGCCGGAGTTTGCAAGAGACCTGATATCATTGTGTCAGTCACGTGGAAGAGGGGCGCCATTGAGCTGACCTCGGGTTTGCTGTCGACCCGTACATGGAATGGTACTGCTTGTCGTAGTTGTCCCTCTTCCGCTCGCCATCTCTTGATGTTTCGTAGGCAGTTCGCGGAGCACTTGCACCTTAGCAAGAAATACGTGAGAAGGCGCAGGGAGGCAACAGGAGACGAAGATAAATCTTACTTGCGAGTCGACGCTCAAGCGCACTCATGTGCTCTTGTCCCTGCAGGATTGTGACTACTTTCGAGTGACGTGGGACAACAGAATGCACTTACAGGTCGTTTGTGTCGCTTCCATTCTTCATCGTCAGAATGATCGCGTGTATCTCGCTTCCTCTTCTTGTCCTTTTTCTCGGCTTTCAGTCTTTTCTTCTCCTGCTTGTGGGCCTTTTTCAACTCTTTCTTCAGCTTCTTGTCACTTTTGCCCTTGTGATCGGTCGACGAGTTCCATTCACCTGCTTCAATGCTTGCCAGCAATGCAGCATGATCAGTGTCGTCATCCTTATGGCCGTGATTGCCGCCTGAGAGGTGATTCTGAAGGATCTCGTTGATATTTTGCGTTCCCTCCTGTCGTTCGTGGGTTTGCGTTTCAAGACTTGCTTGCAGGTTCTCCACTTTAATGGGAGCAAACCCAAGACCTTCAACTCTTTCGCCAAAGGATTCGCTGGCAATGCCATCTGCGATGGTACCAGCTTCTGCATTGCCTTTCTTGAACAGCTTGTTCTTCTCCGCTCTTTCCAGGGCCACTTCGGGTCTTTCCATAGGTTTTTCACCAAGGAGTTGCGCCATCAGGTCATTTTCTCGTGATTTCACCATGTCGATTTCCGTTTTCCCGGACTTCTTCAGATCTACCTTCGTTTCATTGACGTACCAGTTAAGATCCTTGAACTTTTGCCATCTTCCCGCTGCTGCCTTCACAGAGTGACCTAGATAGTTTTGAGCTTGAAAGACGGTGTCTCCATGTTTCTCCTTGATCTCGGACCAGTCAAATTGGTCCTTTCCTCCTCGAGTTCCTCCTCGAGCAGGACCATTGTAGATCGCCATGAGCGTATCCTTGTTCTAGGTACAGATTTATTCCCTACCACTCCTTCCGATCTAGCAACGAGCAGAACCACACGGTATCTGCATGAAAGCGATCAGCTGGAGAAGCTTACACTTCAAAACAAACAAGCATTTTTTTCTATTCAACCCATCCCCTTGCTCCCTTCTCAATCTCTCCCCTATTACCTCCCCCACTCATCCCAATCGCCACACCGCCGTTGGTTCCCACTACCTGGCTGCCACCCTGCCTCTTCCGCCCCACATTCCCTTTATCCTTTGCCCATGCGCCTCCATCTCTATTCCCCCCTTCAGTCGCGATCCTTCACGCCCTCTATCCTTCTCCCGCTTCCTTCCTTCAGCTCCTCTCCTCTCCTTGTCCTCCCCGTGCATCAGCCGCCTGCTCCTGCTTCCCCAAAACTTCCCTTTGGTTTCTTTGCTCAAAGTTAAGTTAAAATTCAGTACGAGATCATTTGACCATCATGAGTCAACTGAGAGTCGGAGAGCCTCCGGGCGGCCCTCGGAGACCCCGGCTGAGAGACTCGAGAGCCTCGGAGACCCAATCATGGGCCTGCCAACTGCTGTCCCCCAAACTTAACTGATACCTTCACTTAACTGCGCGCAGGACCATTCCCCCGCGCCACTAGGCTTCAATCAGGGCCACTGCAATGGGGCCCGGCCGGTACGACTCCGATTGCCGGGCCCGGGGCCTTCCGGCGGGGCCCCTGAGCCTCCGACGCAGCGGGCCGGGCGACCGGCCGGCGGGGGGAAACCGTTGAACAGTCTTTACTCAAAGTTAAGTTAAAGATCAGTACGAGGACAATCAGGAGAGACGAGGAGGCTTGACCCAGACACTGTCGCACAGGCCAAACGGCGAGAAGAGAAAAGACAGCGAGAACCAAACCCAATCCTGCCGACTGCTGTCCCCCAAACTTAACGTTGAACAGTCACGGTTAGATTAGAATTTTCACTCAATTGTAAGCAAAATCTTTGGGTACCGTACATTGTAGGTAAAATCAACCAACGGGCGGCGGCGGTACCGAGTAAAGAAAGAAAGTTTACCGTGGAGTACGCCCGGCGACAATGTCAACGGTTTTCAACGGTCACAAAGAAGGGGTAGTACCCCACCACCTTACCTAAAGTACCCCCATGTCCTACGACAAGAGTACTTTACAAATTTGACTGAATGATTTTGATATCATCAAGTGACGGTAGCAGTAGCGTAGCGGCACAATGCCGCCGGCCTCGCGAGCAGACGTGATGACGTGAGTGACTGAGCACTTAGACAGTGGATGAGACCAAGAGCAAGCACCCGTGATAGCATCGCTCAATGCTGGACTATCGTGAGAGACAAGCCTTCGCGCTTGTGAGCAAGAAGTACATTGAACGAGTATCTCAAAGCTGGATTTGAAGCAGTGCTCATTTTTGAAACAGCTCATTCATACTGCTACAGCACATCGAGATCTCTGTTGCCATTAGGACTCTTGTCTATCCCATGATGCTTCCTAGTCCCAGGCTTCTTCTTGCAGCCGTAGTCTTCCTGCTCTCCTTTCCATCCCCGGCCCTTTCAGTGCAATGCGGTTCCTGCAACTTCATTGTCACCTCAGGCGTCCTGACAAGGGAGGGCGACTGTCCTACCGACTGCTTGAACCTCGGGCTGACGTACATGTCGATCTCCAGCATCGTGCCAGGAACGTTCAACAACCTGACCTCGCTGGTCGGAGTCTATCTTCAATCGAACCGCTTGCAAAACATCACGTCAGAGCAACTGGCGGGGCTGCAGGGGCTCAAGTACCTGGATCTGTCTTACAACCAGATATCGTATGTGCCGGCAGGAGCTTTGTACAACTTAGGGGGACTTGTTGGTCTTAGCTTCCAAGGAAATATGCTGGTGAACATCTCTTCGGACATGTTCTCCGAGCAACACGTTCTGATGTATCTTGATCTTTCATACAATCGCATCTCGAACATTGCTTCAGGTGCCTTCAACAGTCTTTCGTCCCTCTATTCCCTCGCCTTGAACGGAAACAGCTTGTCAAGCATATCGTCAGACACGGTCAAAGGACTAGGGAGTATCTCATATCTGACCCTGGACTCCAACAAGATCACAAGCATAGCTTCTGGAACCTTCAGCAACCAAGTCTACCTTGCTAGCCTTAGTCTAAACGGGAACAACCTCACTAGCATCTCTTATGATACCTTCAAAGGACTATCGAGACTCAGTTCACTTTACCTTGGCAACAACAGGATCTCCAGCATTGCTCCTGGAACCTTCAGCAGCCTGACGTATCTGTACACCCTCGATCTGCACGGGAACAGCCTCACTAGCATCTCTTCTGACACTTTCCAAGGACTAGCAAGACTGACATATTTGAACACATCCTTCAATCAATTCTCAAACATTGCTCCCGGGGCCTTCAGTAACCTGACGTCTCTGAACTCCCTGGACATCTCCATGAACAACCTCTCGAACATCTCTCCCCTCACCTTCGCAGGGCTCTCATCACTACAGTACCTGTTTCAGTGGAGTTGCAAGGTTTCGTCTGTAGCTCCAGGCTCCTTCGCCGGCTCTCCACTCCTGAAGATAGTCGATCTGTCGTCGAACAGACTGACCACCATCGAGGCAGGCGTCTTCAACTCTCTCAGCAGCCTTTCCTCCCTCTCCTTGGGAAGCAACCAGATCAGCTGCGTGGCTCCTGGGGCCTTCAACCCCCAGCTGCAAGCAGGTCTTCGAGTCAACATGTGGTACAACCCTCTTCCTTGCTTGGAGCCCTCGGTCGTCCCGCTCGTGACGCCTCTGATCCCTCCATGCACCGCCGACACGCGATGCTCGATGAACGCGACAGTCAAGGCCATCCAGCTGGTCGAGCTGCTCAAGGTCATGTACGAGGCTCTAGACGTGGCCGGAGCGGGTCAGGTGTGCGTGAGAGACATCGCGGGGGCGGCGGGGAACCTGAGCTCGTACTACCTCGCTACCTCGGGCAGGGTGGAGCTATCGCAAGACTGGGTGAGCGGCTTGTTACGGTCGTTCGTGGCTGAGGCGGGGGCGGAGGGGCAAGTGACGTCGAGGAGGCTCTTGCTGGGCATTGTGGGGGGGGTGACGCCGGAGTGGAGCCCGGAAGAGAGCGTGGGCGACCTGATGCTGCGAGTGTCAGCCGTGTTGATCAGCATGGCAGACTCAGACAAGGATGGCAGGGCGGGAGGGCGGGAGCTGGAGGGGACGTTTGGGATCCAAGGCGGACTGCTGGATGTGGTAAGGAGAGCTTGAGGGGGAGGCAGAGGACTGACGAGGAGGGGGAGGTCAGGTGATGCAGGTAGCCGCCAAGAAGAACGGGCAGCCTGTCGGGCAGGTAGGAGCGTCAGAGCTGGCGTACCTGCTGGAGTCAGCGACGGCGTACATGCGGGGCGAGAAGCTGCCGCGGGACCTGGACGGGATGACGAGGGAGATGGTGCTTGTGCTGGTGAGGCTGGCGGATGCCAACGGAGACGAGGCGATCTCGATGCAGGAGGGGAGGATGATCGGCATACCAGGTCCAGCTCTCGCCGAGGTGAGTGAGGTGGTGGGGTAGAGGAGGGGGTCGTGAGGCCGGTTGAGCAGGTGGACGGGGACGGGAACGGCGTGGTGACCGCCGAGGAGATGATGGACGCCAAGCGACGGATGCTCAACAGCCTGGCGACGTCGTCAGGCTACGTGCACGTGCGAGACAAGGCAGCGAAGATCTACTTGACGTCTGTGTGGACGACAGGGAACCTGACGATGCTGCTGCAGCCGTCTTGGTTCTTCCCTAGGCGGGCGGTCGATGCCCCGGCGGTGGAGCAGTGCGGGTCAAGCGGCTCTGCGGCAGGAGGGTCGACAGGCTCTGGAGCGGAGACGTGGAGCTACGGGGACCTCGGGGAGGAGATGGTTGAGCTGATAGGGCCTGGCTGCTCGTTCGCAGACTTTGTGAGGTACGGGCTCGCGTTGGGACCCTACGCAGAGCAGCAGGCGACATGCAGCTCGATACTGCCATGGACGCTTGCTCCTCTGCTCGTGACCTCGCTCGATCGGAACCTCGACGGAGGGCTGTCGATGGACGAGACGATCTGCTTGGGGAGCGCGGTCTTCCTGGACATCTCCAAGGGGTCCTGGCGGATAGAGGGGCAGATGCTGGAGGCCTATCTGCTCCGCACGGGTCAGGTGGGAGGCCCGGTAAGCAACGGGAGCGACTTCGCCTTCTTCCGGATGCTGTTCGGGGAGCGACTGGACCCGTCCTTGAACAGCTCTGCCATCTTCCCGCACATCGTGCTGCCGGACCCGAGCAGCGCTGAGCTGAGCGCGAGCTTCTTGCTGGGGCTGGGGATGCCGGGAGGGCGATACCAGGAGCTGTTCTGCGGCTCGTTGCCATGCGTCGGGAACGAGAGCCTGTCGGGGCTCAACCTCACGGCGCTGCAGAGGCTGCATGCTTCAGCGGTGTCGGCCTACTGCTCGGGCAGCTGGCTCATGCAGTACAGACGCTCAGCCGGGAGCTCGTCGTGCTTCGCAAGCTTGATCGACACGCGATGGGCCGTGACTAGCGTAGCGTGCGCGTACCAGGCTGTCAACCCAGCGGACGGGAGCGTGACGGTGAGGATGACACGGGCGGACGGGTATCGGATCGAGGACGTGGTGAGGGTGTCTAGCCATCCTGGCTACGGATCTGATCCGGGGAGGTATGACGTGGCGCTGTGCGAGCTCGGGGCTGCGTCGCTAGGGAGGCCTGTGGAGCTCTACGACGGGACGATGGTGCAGGCGATGGAGTGCAGGAGCATGGAGCTCGTCGTGGGCAGCCCGTTGAGCATGATGCCGGTCCTGTGCGATCCGAGCCCGGGCATCCTGCAGGACCTGAGGCTGTCAGACCCGTCGCGGCCCTCGTGTCCGGCTCCATGCAACCCGCCCGTCGCGATGCCCAAGATGGCGGCAGGGACAGCGATGGTGGTGCGAGACGGGAGGAGCCCGGGGAGGGAGTGGCTGTACGGGTACGTGTCGGAGTCGAGCAGCGGAGGGCAGACGTGGATGGGGGTGAGGGAGGTGCTGGAGTGGATCTTGAGCGGGGACGGGGTGGGGAGACACGGGGCGAAGGTGATGCGGGTGAGGGTGACGTCGCTGGTGCTTCCGGCGGGAGGGTCGCTGAGAGTGTCGGCGGGTCACCGGGGGGCGATGGAGGTGGTGGAGGAGCCCTGCAGGGAGGAAGTAGTCTACACGGACGGGGGGACGGGGTCGATGAGGCTGGAGCTGCTGAGCTCGTGCGGGCTGTGTGGGAAGGTGGAGGTGAAGGTGAGAGGGGAGGAGGAGGGAGGGGCTGTAGGGCTGACCGGGTGGGAGGTGCAGGCGGAGGTGGAGGTGCTGTCTTGCAGGGAAGCTCAGCGCAGCACGGGCGTGTGTCCTGAGGGATGCGCGCAAGGATACAACAGGACAGGGACGGGGGCTGTGTGCGAGGTAGAGCTGCTGCTGGGAGGGGAGAGAGGCTGACTCGTCCTGTCAGGATCCTCAATGCAATGTAATCATGCCGGCTAGTCGTGCTATAGAGCTCATCAAGCAGAACAAGGCGAGACGAGGTGAGAGGTCGGCAGGAGGCGACGGCAGTGGGTGACGGATGGAGCAGGCGGGGTGAGGGCGAGGGATCCGCGGTATCACTCGTGGGTGTGTCTCAAGGACTGGGACGAGGAGGAGATGCTGTCTTGCGGGATCGACCGCAACGAGTGGGCGTGCTTCAGGTGGGCAAGGGAGAGGGAGGGCGGGAAGGAGGGAGGGGGAGGAGAGGGGAGGAGGCAGAGGGATGGAGGGGCAGCAGGGGGAAGGGGCTGACAGAGAGTTGGGGCATGGCAGGTACCTGAAGGAGAGCATGGAGCTGGAGTTTTACGGGCTGAACAGTCGGGTTCGTCTAGTACAGGAGGGATGAGGGCAGTAGGAGGGGCAGTCCCCTCATGGTTGCTGGCGGAGGAGGAGGATTGATACATCTATTTAACATCCTACTATTTCAAGTGACGCGTCAAAACTGTTGCAATGATACAACCTCGTACACAAGTTTCTCGCAAGGGAGTAACTGCTGAATGGCACATGGCACCTAGGTGGACCAGACGATCATGTCCTGACATGCAACATCTTTCAAGAACAACCTTGTGCAGCACCAATGATGGGTCTGTGAAATTTCTCAACATTCATCCTCGCGATCGAGGACAGGGAAGAAAGAAATGCTGCTGTCTTCACTCCAACGCCCATGAATCTGTACCAGTGTTCCCTAAGCTGCGAAGCAAGCAATCGATTACACTCTGAGACAAGAGCCTTGCATCAGGTCTTGTTCTCTTGGAAGTGAATGCCCTTGACCTGATTCTCTATTTACATGGGAACAACAACACTTTGTTTGAATACTGATCCTTCAAGCAAACAGTCTCGGCAACCATTGACCCCCAGCTGTATTTGTGCAGTTTGTCCTTTGCTGGGGCTCCTGTCTCAGTCAGTCTAGGGCATTCACTCTTGACATGTCCCACTTTCTTGCAATAAAAGCACTTTGTTTTCTTCTTGTCAAACTTGTTCGCTCGAGACCCTGCAGCGGTCAAGGACCGCACCTTCGTGGGAGGTGACTTCACTAGAAACACCTTCAAGTCTGTTTCATCAGCTTGCGTCTCGTCTTCGTCCAAGTACTCCGCCCAAGTATACAAGTCTGAAAGGTGTTTGCCGAACGCCTCCATCGAACAGTACTCATCCACCGTACCTTCACGTTCCAGCGCAGCCCTCAACCTCTCCTTCATACACACTCGCACAGCTTGACGATAGATCCCAGCAACGAAGATTTTCTCCAAGAAACCTGCAATGACTATCTGCTTGCATAGAAGCTTGTAGCAACCGATGATGTGATGTGCATATCTCTTGTACCTCGTGATATACGACGACATGTTCTCCCCTGAGCTCTGTCTGATCTCCTTCAGTTCCTCCACCAGCCTCTCAACCTTGCTTTCCGGCAACCAGTGCTTTGCCATGAGCTCTTTGAAGCTCTTCCAGTCCCCACCCCCGGGCAAGCACATGCTCTTGTCCCTGTCCGGTAACGACTCGTACCAGTCGCGCGTATCCCCTTCCAAGAGCGTCGAGGCTACAGCACACCAGGTGTGGCCGGGGACGTCTTGACAGCGGCACTGCAGCTCTACCTCGCACAACCATGTCACGACCGACCTGCACACGCTGAAGTCTCCGTTGAATCGACGCGCATGCTCGGAATGGAACTGACCACCTCTCCTCGGTGCCACCATCCTCCCTTCTGCATTGAGCTCAGTTTCCTTCAGGTGCTTCGCGTCTCGCGCTGGCTGTGATGTGCCAATGTCTGTCCTCTGCGAACGCAGTGAAGCCATCTCCTCCTGAAGCTCCTCCTGCACACGCTTCATCTTCGCAATCTCTCCACGCCATGCATCCGTCGAACGATGTAACCCTTCTTGCCGCTCCTGCAACTCCCGGCAAGTAGCTCGAAGAAGCATGTTCTCCTCCTCTAGTTGACCATAGCTTCTCTGTGAGTGTGACGCCTGTTGCTCTTCATCTGTTCTCAGTAGGCCGGCTTTTCTATCCCATGTAAACCCATCCAGTGATGGGAGAGAATCGTCTGATGCAGATTCGGGCCCACAAGATCCCAGCGCATCGATCTTACATGGAAGCGAATCGATCCCAGCCTCGTCGTGTCGTTCCTTCATGGTTGATCGTTGAGGAGAGCCGATCGCAGTCGTCTCTGTCATCTCCTTCACCATCTGATTCTCGCAACCTAGCATGCACGTGAAGTTGAAAACCTTTACTGACAGTTGAATTATTGACGATTCTTGAACTTATACTTTATGCACATTCGAAGGACGTGAGTCTTCCTGCTGTCCTGCCCTCCGACCGAAGAGACTCAGTGGATCCGATCGGATCGGCACGGCGGCCGGGACTCACCGAGACCTGAGCACTCAGCCCTATCATGCACATCCAGGCTACTCCCTCCTACTGCCCTCATCCCTCCTGTACTAGACGAACCCGACTGTTCAGCCCGTAAAACTCCAGCTCCATGCTCTCCTTCAGGTACCTGCCATGCCCCAACTCTCTGTCAGCCCCTTCCCCCTGCTGCCCCTCCATCCCTCTGCCTCCTCCCCTCCCTCCTCCGCGTCGCCCTCCCCCTCCCTTGCCCACCTGAAGCACGCCCACTCGTTGCGGTCGATCCCGCAAGACAGCATCTCCTCCTCGTCCCAGTCCTTGAGACACACCCACGAGTGATACCGCGGATCCCTCGCCCTCACCCCGCCTGCTCCATCCGTCACCCACTGCCGTCGCCTCCTGCCGACCTCTCACCTCGTCTCGCCTTGTTCTGCTTGATGAGCTCTATAGCACGACTAGCCGGCATGATTACATTGCATTGAGGATCCTGACAGGACGAGTCAGCCTCTCTCCCCTCCCAGCAGCAGCTCTACCTCGCACACAGCCCCCGTCCCTGTCCTGTTGTATCCTTGCGCGCATCCCTCAGGACACACGCCCGTGCTGCGCTGAGCTTCCCTGCAAGACAGCACCTCCACCTCCGCCTGCACCTCCCACCCGGTCAGCCCTACAGCCCCTCCCTCCTCCTCCCCTCTCACCTTCACCTCCACCTTCCCACACAGCCCGCACGAGCTCAGCAGCTCCAGCCTCATCGACCCCGTCCCCCCGTCCGTGTAGACTACTTCCTCCCTGCAGGGCTCCTCCACCACCTCCATCGCCCCCCGGTGACCCGCCGACACTCTCAGCGACCCTCCCGCCGGAAGCACCAGCGACGTCACCCTCACCCGCATCACCTTCGCCCCGTGTCTCCCCACCCCGTCCCCGCTCAAGATCCACTCCAGCACCTCCCTCACCCCCATCCACGTCTGCCCTCCGCTGCTCGACTCCGACACGTACCCGTACAGCCACTCCCTCCCCGGGCTCCTCCCGTCTCGCACCACCATCGCTGTCCCTGCCGCCATCTTGGGCATCGCGACGGGCGGGTTGCATGGAGCCGGACACGAGGGCCGCGACGGGTCTGACAGCCTCAGGTCCTGCAGGATGCCCGGGCTCGGATCGCACAGGACCGGCATCATGCTCAGCGGGCTGCCCACGACGAGCTCCATGCTCCTGCACTCCATCGCCTGCACCATCGTCCCGTCGTAGAGCTCCACAGGCCTCCCTAGCGACGCAGCCCCGAGCTCGCACAGCGCCACGTCATACCTCCCCGGATCAGACCCGTAGCCAGGATGGCTAGACACCCTCACCACGTCCTCGATCCGATACCCGTCCGCCCGTGTCATCCTCACCGTCACGCTCCCGTCCGCTGGGTTGACAGCCTGGTACGCGCACGCTACGCTAGTCACGGCCCATCGCGTGTCGATCAAGCTTGCGAAGCACGACGAGCTCCCGGCTGAGCGTCTGTACTGCATGAGCCAGCTGCCCGAGCAGTAGGCCGACACCGCTGAAGCATGCAGCCTCTGCAGCGCCGTGAGGTTGAGCCCCGACAGGCTCTCGTTCCCGACGCATGGCAACGAGCCGCAGAACAGCTCCTGGTATCGCCCTCCCGGCATCCCCAGCCCCAGCAAGAAGCTCGCGCTCAGCTCAGCGCTGCTCGGGTCCGGCAGCACGATGTGCGGGAAGACGGCAGAGCTGTTCAAGGACGGGTCCAGTCGCTCCCCGAACAGCATCCGGAAGAAGGCGAAGTCGCTCCCGTTGCTTACCGGGCCTCCCACCTGACCCGTGCGGAGCAGATAGGCCTCCAGCATCTGCCCCTCTATCCGCCAGGACCCCTTGGAGATGTCCAGGAAGACCGCGCTCCCCAAGCAGATCGTCTCGTCCATCGACAGCCCTCCGTCGAGGTTCCGATCGAGCGAGGTGACGAGCAGAGGAGCAAGCGTCCATGGCAGTATCGAGCTGCATGTCGCCTGCTGCTCTGCGTAGGGTCCCAACGCGAGCCCGTACCTCACAAAGTCTGCGAACGAGCAGCCAGGCCCTATCAGCTCAACCATCTCCTCCCCGAGGTCCCCGTAGCTCCACGTCTCCGCTCCAGAGCCTGTCGACCCTCCTGCCGCAGAGCCGCTTGACCCGCACTGCTCCACCGCCGGGGCATCGACCGCCCGCCTAGGGAAGAACCAAGACGGCTGCAGCAGCATCGTCAGGTTCCCTGTCGTCCACACAGACGTCAAGTAGATCTTCGCTGCCTTGTCTCGCACGTGCACGTAGCCTGACGACGTCGCCAGGCTGTTGAGCATCCGTCGCTTGGCGTCCATCATCTCCTCGGCGGTCACCACGCCGTTCCCGTCCCCGTCCACCTGCTCAACCGGCCTCACGACCCCCTCCTCTACCCCACCACCTCACTCACCTCGGCGAGAGCTGGACCTGGTATGCCGATCATCCTCCCCTCCTGCATCGAGATCGCCTCGTCTCCGTTGGCATCCGCCAGCCTCACCAGCACAAGCACCATCTCCCTCGTCATCCCGTCCAGGTCCCGCGGCAGCTTCTCGCCCCGCATGTACGCCGTCGCTGACTCCAGCAGGTACGCCAGCTCTGACGCTCCTACCTGCCCGACAGGCTGCCCGTTCTTCTTGGCGGCTACCTGCATCACCTGCCCTCCCCCTCCTCGTCAGTCCTCTGCCTCCCCCTCAAGCTCTCCTTACCACATCCAGCAGTTCGCCTTGGATCCCAAACGTCCCCTCCAGCTCCAGCCCTCCCGCCCCGCCATCCTTGTCTGAGTCTGCCATGCTGATCAACACGGCTGACACTCGCAGCATCAGGTCGCCCACGCTCTCTTCCGGGCTCCACTCCGGCGTCACCCCCCCCACAATGCCCAGCAAGAGCCTCCTCGACGTCACTTGCCCCTCCGCCCCCGCCTCAGCCACGAACGACCGTAACAAGCCGCTCACCCAGTCTTGCGATAGCTCCACCCTGCCCGAGGTAGCGAGGTAGTAGGAGCTCAGGTTCCCCGCTGCCCCCGCGATGTCTCTCACGCACACCTGACCCGCTCCGGCCACGTCTAGAGCCTCGTACATGACCTTGAGCAGCTCGACCAGCTGGATGGCCTTGACTGTCGTGTTCATCGAGCATGGCGTGTTTGCAGTGCATGGAGGGATCAGAGGCGTCACGAGCGGGACGACCGAGGGCTCCAAGCAAGGAAGAGGGTTGTACCACATGTTGACTCGAAGACCTGCTTGCAGCTGGGGGTTGAAGGCCCCAGGAGCCACGCAGCTGATCTGGTTGCTTGCCAACGAGAGGGAGGAAAGGCTGCTGAGAGAGTTGAAGACGCCTGCCTCGATGGTGGTCAGTCTGTTCGATGACAGATCGACTATCTTCAGGAGTGGAGAGCCGGCGAAGGAGCCTGGAGCTACAGACGAAACATTGCAACTCCACTGAAACAGGTACTGTAGTGATGAGAGCCCTGCGAAGGTGAGGGGAGAGATGCTCGAGAGGTTGTTCATGGAGATATCTAGATCCAAAAGTAGTGTTAGACTACTGAAGGCCCCGGGAGCAATGTTTGAGATGTTGCTTGAGGCAAAATACAGGCTTCCCAGATTCTTCAGTCCATAAAATGCATCTACTGTGATGGTGGAAATGTTGTTGCCATGGATGTCAAGACCACGCAGTAATGTCAGGCTGCTGAAGGTTCCTGGAGGTATGCCGGAGATCTGGTTGTAGCCAACACTCAGATATTGGAGGTTCCCGACTCCGGCAAAGGTATCAGGAGAGATGCTAGTGAGGCTGTTCCCATCCAGATAGAGGGTGTACAGATACGTCAGGCTGCTGAAGGTTCCAGGAGCAATGCTGGAGATCCTGTTGTTGCCAAGGTAAAGTAAACCGAGTCTTCCTAGTCCTTTGAAGGTGTCTGACGAGATGCTTGAGATTCTGTTCCCCCATAGATCGAGTTCGTAGAGTGACGACAGGTTGTTGAAGGTCCCCGGAGGTATGCTGGAGATCTGGTTGTAGCCAAGATAAAGCGTTCCTAATTGTCCAAGCCCTTTGAAGGTGTCTGACGAGATGCTTGAGATGCTGTTCCCCCATAGATCGAGGGTTTTCAGGTACGTCAGGTTGCTGAAAGCCCCGGGAGCTATGTTCACAATTTTGCTGTTCCACAGAAGAAGGGTTTGGAGTGAAATTGGCCCAGAAGAAAACTCAACAGTGATATTAGGCAAGTTGTTCCCATGCAGGTAGAGACTGTTTAGGCTTGTCATGTCTTTGAAAGACCCAGAAGCTATTTTGGAGATGCGATTGTATGAAAGATCAAGGTACATCAGGTTCTGCAGTCCCACATACATATCCGAAGAGATGTTCACCAGCATGTTGCTACGGATGTACAGATTAACAAGTGAGCTTAACTTGCTGAAAGCTCCTGCCGGCACATACGATATCTGGTTGTAAGACAGATCCAGGTACTTGAGCCCCTGCAGCCCCGCCAGTTGCTCTGACGTGATGTTTTGCAAGCGGTTCGATTGAAGATAGACTCCGACGAGCGAGGTCAGGTTGTTGAACGTCCCTGGCACGATGCTGGAGATGCTGTTGTACCCCAGGTAGAGGTACTGCAAGCTCGAGAGCCCAGTGAATGCGTTGACAGATATCGAGGTGATTGACATGTACGTCAGCCCGAGGTTCAAGCAGTCGGTAGGACAGTCGCCCTCCCTTGTCAGGACGCCTGAGGTGACGATGAAGTTGCAGGACCCGCATTGCACTGAAAGGGCCGGGGATGGAAAGGAGAGCAGGAAGGCTACGGCTGCAAGAAGAAGCCTGGGGCCAGGAAGCATCATCAGTTTGAACGGCGGAATATCTTTGACAGATATCGCAACGCTGGAGGGACCTAGATCAGGAACACGGTGAGTGAACATTATTTACACGTATCAAGGCAAGCTTCTCTTGGCTTCTGCGATGTTGCACTTATACCATCTCATGGGTTCTGCTCCCACTGCGTTTATCAAAATCCTACTCACAACCTTCAGCTCCGACCAATGGTGACAGCCGAAGTCAGTCTTGCGTGCTCTTCCTGCTACCTTATCTCCATCACATCAACTTGGCTTTTCTCATTCTTCTTCAGCTCTCCTTCTCTCTCTGCCCTCAACTGGCGTCCTTTGTTCATACCGCCATGACTAGGTTTTGCCCAATTCCGGCGGGAACCTGAGGGGAATGTCCTTAGGGGCAACCTACCGGTGGTTTACCGCGAGATAGGGGGGGTTACGTGCGAGTGATCACTCTATGGAATTGTACGCCGGTACTTTTCACGCTCTGAGCCAGTAAACTGACCACCCCTACCCCCTTCTGGTATTTAATAACCGATGTGAGGTATGGGTACGGATATGGAAACGGGCACGCGTACGGGTACGAATCACCGAATTCCGTACGGTACACTGGCCCGGGGTACGGCGCAGGCTACCGTGGCCCGGTACGCCGCCCGCCGTACGGGGTACCGTACGACGGTACGGTGAAGATCATGACCGTAATGGGCCGCCGGCAGCCGCGGAGCCGCCGTGTGGCCTGAGAGCCTCCGCCCGGCCCGGCCGGTCACCGGGTCGGGCCGCTGACCGTACCGCCTGTGATCCCCGGCGGCGCTCGGTGCCACGACGGTGGACGGTCCTCAGGTCGAGCCTGGAGGCCCCTGAGGCGGCAAGTTTCAGTTTGCACTGACTGCGGCTGACGCACTGAGATCGCCGTCGGACTCTCGGAGCAGTTCCGAGCCCAGTGAGCCTGTCGGAGGCTCACGGACTCCGACCGGCGGACCGGGGCCGCCGGGAGTGGCGGGCCCGGCCGTCACTGTGTGACTCGGACGGTTGCACTAGGAGTGAGCAGTCCGATCACAAGTTCACTGAGTTGACTCGGCGGTCAGACTGAAGAATGCTTGCGGTGAGGCTCTGACTTCTACTTCAAGGCTTTGGCTCGGTGGCCGAGCAGAGTCAAGGGTTCTGCCATTGAGCTTTCATTGCAGAGCATCAACCGTTGTCATCAACCTGCCTCATGCGGCTATCCTGGATGAATCTCCACATATCCTCAGTTTGATTGAATGAGTCATTATCGTACCTCTGTCTTCGTTGTTTTACAATTTCCGTTTTGAATACTATGATCTCAGTGACAGATGAACTGTGAGTTCACATTGCTCGAAGTGTTCGGTAAGATCGGCTATCAGTATGCAAACAATTCAGTCTGAGCATGGCCCGCCTCTTTGTGGAGGCGGCGGCGGGAGGCAAGGTGAGGCTTGTCATCACGTGTATTGAGATGGATACCTGAGAACAGCCCGGCCCCTCCTGGACATGATCTCAGGTGACTAGGTGGTAGATGCTTCTTCGTTTACTTCTGCGTTCTATCGCATTCACCGCCATCAATTACATGTACACCTCGTAACAAACTCATCCGCACCAGACACGTTTCGCTGTACACAAGTCACGTTGACTCTCGTGGGCAACAACCATCAAGTCCCATCCTTCTCAAGCACTCCATGCCTTTGACTCGTTTGCTTCTCTCGTTGCCTCCTTTCCTTCCCGCCTCCATTGTTTCCGCGTCCTTCCCCTCCTTCACGGAACTATCAGAGATGGAGCTTGTCTCCCGTTGCTCCGTAGACGGTAGGAGGGTCGTCTTGAGACAGGAGGTCAATACAGTAGGCAAGAGCCTTCAGCTGCCTCTCTCTGAATGCCCCGAGGCTCATCGCGGGTGGATCAGCCCAGTCAACATGGTCCGACTTGTTCGTTGAGCGAGGTGAACTGTTTGTCGACAACAGATCCATGCGGCTTGAAAGGACGTCCATGTCAGCCTCAAAGGCCCAATGTTCGCCCCCGTCGTTGTGAAGGCTGAGTTCGCGGAAGGAGGGTTGATGCTGCCATGCCTCGAGCGCAGCAGCAGAGCAGGGGGGAGAGTGCGATGAGTCTGCGAGGAGTGAGGGAGGGAGAGAGGACATACTTGAGTCCCCGGAAGGACTTGAAATCGCAGAGGACTTGACCATGGCGTCTGCCTTGGAACAGTACAGGACTCCGTAGGAAGCAGGGGAACAGGACGAAGAGGTTAACTCGCCCACTGGAGGCGGCGACGCAGTTTTGACGGGTCGCATCAACTTCACTGAGTTCAGTTCTTACTACGACTGCCAACTCGAACAAGTCATTTTACACGGCCGCCCGGCGGATCCAGGCTTGTACCTGAATGTTTACTCATCTTGCGGGAACCCAATTTGCTACACCAGTGGCGCCGGGATACCACTGGCACGTGCCGCCTGAAACCGCCGGGCCGGGCCGGGGCAGTGACAACGGTGAAAGTACCGGCGGGCCCGATGGCAACTTTGAGTTAAAAATCTTTACTCAAAGTTAACTTAAAGATCAGTACGAGGATCGGACAACCAGGAGAGTCGAGGAGGCCCTTGACCCTCGAGAAACTATGATGAACCAAGTTTGTCAAACTCAGATTGGCCGTACTGGTTTTTAACTTAACTTTGAGTAAAAGCCGGCCACCGTGCGGCCCTTCGGAAGGCTAACGGGGCGTGATACCGTATGATAACGTAGTATGATTGAAAAAGCCGCTAGGAAGTTGAGACGATCATCGGATGCCTGGATCACAGAACCCGGCTACGCCGTCAGAGCTTGAGACAACAAGAGGACTGCTCCTCTTTTTCTCAGTGGCACTGAGACGGTCGGCGGAGGCGGCCACAGCGGCCAGGGGGTAAAGTACGGTAAGGTACTCCGGCGTAATCGAGCCCCAGACCCCGGTCACCGGGTGACAGACCGGCGGCGGGCCGCTGGGGCTGGGACTCTCGGTCCGATGGTCAACCGTTCAGGCTACGCCGTGACGGTCCGATCACCGGGTTCGGAACCCGGCCCGGCGCGGGGGCCGGCCGCCGCCGCACAAATGCAGGCCCGCCTCAGTTCTGAGGGCCGGGCCGCCGGGGCTGCGACCCTCCACGTCGAGGGGCGATCATGGTCGGCAGGTGAGGAGAGAGCGAGGACGGGCTCGGAACGTGATGGCAAGATGGTGAGATGTTGATGATCGGACTGAGGTGAAGATATCAGATTCTTGAATGAAGAGCTGAGACGATGGAGTGATGGAGTGATGGGTTCAAGAGGGATGTTTGCTCGACCTTTTGGGACTTCTCTTCCATGGTGAACTTTACATGCACTGGACATGTTGGAGCTGGTTCTGGCCGACGCTTAACCTCCTCCAGCAAAGTCACAGGGGTAGATAGAATGAAGATCATTTCATCTCTGTTCTTGCTCGCGCTGCTCACATCCGGTATGCCTGCATGAAGTCTCTGAAACACTTTCAACATCTGATTCGATTGCTGGTAGGTTGTCGTGCGCAGAATCAAACAAACGAGATCCCCTATGTGGCTGGAACGTGGGAGATTACGTACACGTACAATGAGATGTTCGGTCCTCTTGGAGGGGTGATCACCAATCCTTGCCGCGGCCCGTTTCCTTATCGTTACACGTGGAACGTGTTGATTTACCAACTTGTAAGTGATGTGAATGGCACCAAGCAAACAACCGGAAACATCCGAGCCTGCTGGTCTGATCGGATGAATTGCATCAACGATGCTCTCAACTGGACCATTCGCGAGGGTGACAGGTAAAGTAGAGGTTGACCGCATGTGACAACATTCTGAACCTCATGTCAAGCTCCTACGTTAAGCAAGAATGTTATTTTCGTCCTTACGACCAATACGGAAGCAATTATATCCTATACCCTGGATATCCTCAGGGTTTGTTGCTTTGTCGCATGTGTGTGCTGCAACGATTCATAACGGTTGCTCGACAGGGGGATATCAAACTGAGATCAAACCAACAGATCGGTTTGGAAACACCATCTCTTCGAGGCTTTACAGCCGGTTTGCTGTACCCAATACTTCTCCGGTACCTCTTGACGAGCTGATGTCTTGACACCTGACTTCTTCGGCTTCAAGTTTGTGTACGGCTCATTCTGCAATCAGTTTGCATGGTACGATGGAACCACGACTGTCAAAGACACCCCTCTCTACAAGTATATCTTGTGAAAGCAGTGCGACTGAAGATTGACGCAAGTGCATGGAAGGGGCTCATGGCGATATGACAATGAGACTTGGATCTTTCTGAGACCGATCGAGAACTGCCCCTGCTTCCCAGCGTCAGTACTGCCATCCTCGTACGCCTCTTCTGATGAATGTTCCAGGTGCTCTGAGTGCGAGGAGACTATCCCCAACACGATTCTCAAGCAAGTCAGGAACGACGGAGGCGCGTGTCTGGCCAAGTACGGCTACAGCATCAAGGACTGCGAATGGTCCATCGTCGGGGTTGGCGGCGGGCCCGCCGTGTTCCCCCCAGCCACGACAGGACTGCCGCAGACAAGCAGGGGAGAGGATCAGGTCTGTTTCTCTTACGCCAACATCAAAGGAACCAAGCTCAAGGGTCCCACCTCCCTGCCGCAAGTGGTCGCAGCTAGCTGGGGAAAGATTGGAATACCCTCCCAGAATTTGAATCCAAACCCCTGAGCACACTTACAAGGCAGCGGGCAGCAAGGGTCGCTGCTTCACAGTCAAAGATTCAAGCAGCGAAGCCTCACGCGTTTTTCAGATTCGTTTGAACGTGAAAGCATGCAAAGAAACACATCATGACCCCTTCTCGCGTCTCCGAAACAATCGTTGTCAAAGGGAAAGCAAGGCAAGAGGAGGCAGAGGTGGGACAGTGTTGGAGCAGGCACCGCGATTGTTTCTGGGTTGGACATCCCTGCTGGCAGCGGCTCGGTAGGGAGAGTCACTTGAGTTCGAGGTCGACCAAGGGAAAGAGCAGCACGTGTTGATCGCTACTAGAAGCAACAAAGAAGTTCAAACGGCTAAGTCAGGTGAAGTTGTACAGGAGTGCCTTCCCGTCATCCCCCGATGTGACCAGCAGCTGTTTCATGTGAATCAGATCTCAGGCCCGACTGTGCGGTCAATTACCTCGCTGGTTGACTTCCCCGCCATCACCTCAGCTGATGCGATGCAACGAACCGCAGCTTTGTTCGCCCCCAACCCCCAGCAGACGGCACCTGAGAACAATGAGGAAAGGAGAAGACGAGGATGTTGTCACCTGTCTCTACGTCGTGGGCGAGCAGCATTCCGTCACCAGCTCCACTAAGAATGATACTTCCAGCCATGGCGAGAGAGTATATGAAGTCCTCGAGGTTGAACTGAGTTTGTACATTGAACACGTAACTAGATGTACCTTGTGCTCTGTGAAGGTGAACCTTGGCTGAAACCCACTCCTTGCGTCAAGAACCTGATTGCCATCTCAACCTGACGTATGGATGGTTGTTTCTTTCCACCTGAACCCGGCAGTCTGCTCCGGCAGTTACCACGTCTGTCGTAGCCATGTTGGGAGAGGTTCTCCTGACGACGATGTTTCCTACGGCGCCCGAACCTGAGTCTTGGGCGTTAGATGTATCATGACGATCTCATGGATGGAGAAAGACCTTGCTGGGTAACATGTGCTGCAATCTGATGGATAAACCGCTCCTCTCTCACGTCCCATACCTTCACTTTGCCATCCTGCACTCCCTTCAGGTCAGGATGTGGTGAAGAGGAGGAGAGAGAAAACGACGGGAGGGTGGGGGGTGAGGAGACCTGTGCTCCTACTAGGAAGGTATTGCCGTCAAGCCATGCCAGGCTTGTTATGTGCCCGCCATGTCCCGGTATTCTCCTCGACTTGTTCGCCTGCTCCGACAGGACTTCAATCCTGAGGTTCACTTCCCCAGCCCTCCTCGGCCTCTTCCACCTCCACGTCCCACAACATGGCGACACCGTCTCTGTCCCCCGAGACAAGGCTGCTCGTCTCCGCCTGCTCTTGCGGTTCAGGACCGACCTCCTCCTCACTTGCTCGCACCACAGCCATGCAGAGAACCGGTGCCGAGTGCCCTGACCAGCTCGTCACAGGAAGCTTTTGGAGGAAGAGAAAGGTCACCTTTCAGCGAAGACGCAAGGGCTCGACTGGCATGTTTGCTCAGGTCCCACACGCACACCTGAAAGGAGGGTGTGACTTGAAGCGTCGTCTGACGGCTATCGGGGAACCGTCTTGTCGTAGCTCGAGGTGAAGGCGAAGTTGCCACCTGAAGCAGCGAGCAACGAGGATGTGACTACAACTGTCTTACGGCGAGGGGGGAGGAGAACCTCCGTCGCTCTGCACTGCCTTCATGTCACTGATGCTTGCCGAATGTCCTTGCAGATCAGAGCATTGAGCTCCTGTCCACGTTGCAGCATGTGAGCGACGAGGAGAAATACGAGGATGAATGGAAGACGGAGAAGGGAGGAGGGAGGAGGGAGGGAGGAGCAGGAAGCGGGGGGTAGAGAAGTTAGAGTGGCATTGAGGGTTGAGGACGAAGGAAGAGACGAGAAGAAAAGAAAGAGGAAGCGCAAGGGAGGGAGAGAGGGAGGAGCCGGTCTTCAAGTAGCGCACCAGCTTTGTTCCACAAGCAGAGTTTCCCGTCCATACCCCCCGAGAGGACGCGGCCATCTGCGGTATGGGAGACGCAGGTGACCCACTCAGTGTGGCCGTGGGTCTGAGGAGGGACGAGGTGAGCGAGGAGGAGCGGAGGGTCGAGCGACCTTGGTGTAGAGGGTTCGCGATTTCCTCTGCTTGACTAGGTCGATGCCGTAGAGCGCGTGATCGGTAGAGCCGATGACTGCTTCACCTCCCCTTCAGCAGGGCTGTCAGCTAGTCCCCAGCTGCTCGCCTCCCTGTACCAGACGCTGATGCAAGTGTTGGGGCGGTCGCTCAGGTCCAGCAAAGTTCCTTCAGCGTTCTGAATCATCAGGTTGGTCAGTCGTAGAGGACGGAGGAGGAAAGAAGAGGAATGAGTGAGGGCGAGGGAAGGAGAAAGGAGGGATGGAGGAGAAGGGAACGACGAAGGATGTGAGGAGGATTATGGAGCGAGGGAGCGATCAGCAAGATGGATGGAAGGATGGATGGAGTTGAGAAAAACGTAAGGAGAAGTAAAGTGTGAGAGAAAAAGGAACAAGATGTTAGGTAGTCCACCTCCGGCCCAGATTTCCAAGACGCTCTTGTGCTCCAAATGGATAAAGTTTCAAGTTGAGTCGTCAGCTTTCCGATCGATTCCAACGCTGATCATCATCGCGATCACTCCCCACTGGGGTAGGAGGGGAAGAGGATAGCAACAAGTGAAGGTGAGGGAGGAGAGGAGGAGAGGAGGAGAGGAGGAGACCGCTCATCCTCGCAGCTCCTTGTGTTGTCTTGGCCACTTGCTGCTTTGCCGCCTCGGGCGTCTCGCCACTCAGCAGGGCGTATGCGGCGTGAAAGTTTTCCATGTAGCTGCGTCAGCGTCAGCTCAGCCTCGGGCAGCAGACGCGACGACTTGTCGTTGAGCGCGTGGCTGCGGGAGGCATGACCAGCCGTCGCCTGTAGGAGAGTGAGTGGCGAACCGATCCCCTCCGACGCCTTCGCATCCTCCGTCTCTCCGTCTCTCCGTCGCTACCCTCCTACCTCCTCCCATTCATCTCTCCTTTCGTACCTCCTCTTTCCCTGCATTGCTATTTCCCTGCCTGCCTCGCTCCTTCCGTTCCTCTCTCCAGGCCTTCTCCTTCCTCCCTCCCCCCCCCCCCCCCCCCCGTCCCCTTTCCCCCCTCCCTCTCCCCTTGCTTTGGAATAGAGCAGTCAGGTATCACCTTTCTCCCCAGCAACGCTGTCTCGGCATAGAGGACCTTGACCTTGTCCGGGCTGACATCGAGGCGTCAGACACGCAGGATCTCCTTCCTCGCCCTCCTTCACCGCACGAGATGGCCATGGTTCTTCTGGCACTTGAAATATTTCTTCCCCTACCCAGCCCATCATGACGGCAGCGCCTCTACTCCTGCCTCCTGCCTCCTGCCTCCTGCCTCCTGCCTCCTGCCTCCTGCCTCCTCCTCATGCATGCTCCTCCCTACACCCAACTCTCTCCTTCTGCCTCTTTCTCTCCTCCGCCCTCCATCCCCTGTCTTCTCTCCTCTCTCCTCTCTCCTCCACTTTCCTCCCTCCATCCTCCGCCCATCCTCCTCCTGACCTTGATAGTTCCGTCATTCTTGCCTACTGGCTGATCATACACAACTCCGACCCACCTTGTGCAGAACGTCAGCAGGTCCAGGCAGAACGCAGCATTCTTTCATCGCACAACATCGGAGCAACAACACACAGATTGTGAGATAATCGGCAAGGGAGGAAAACAGTGCAGGGCCATGGCACATACATTCCAGATGGGAGATCTGGAAGATCGGAGCCAAGAAACGCGATTTCACCTAAAACAAGACTGTCAGCAGAGAGCTGAACAAGTTGAGTTCTTACCGGTGTTTCCATCTACAACACATCTCTGACCAACTTCCATGTGTTCAGCAGCACCTGATCGAAGTGTCCATTACTACCCTAGACACCCCGATCGATTTGCCCTAATCCCTCGTTCTGTTCCTTTCTTTACCTCTGTCTCCCATACCTGCATAGCCCTCGCTCCCTCCTTCCTTCCCTTGCCCTCCCTCCCATCCCCGTCTCCTTCTCCCCCTAACCCCGCTCCTCCTGCTCCTCCTGCTCCTCCTGCTCCTCCTGCTCCTGCTCCTGCTCCTGCTCCTCCTCCTGCTCCTCCTCCTGCTCCTGCTCCTCCTGCTCCCCCTTCCTCCTCCTCCTGCTCCTCCTCCTGCTCCTCCTCCTGCTCCTCCTCCTCTTTGTTATCGCCCTCCTCCTCCTCCATGACCTCAATCCAATCCTTGTGCCTTCGTCTGCGTGCTATGTCCTCCTCCTCTTCCATCCTCCCTCTCCCCGTCTCAACCCTTCCTCCCCTCACGCTTTTTCGTAGCCTCCTGAGCTGTGGTGGGACGGAGCTTACCCAGACATGGTGGACAAGCTCAAACAGAAAGTTGTCAACTGGTGTACAGACTATATCACCTCTCCTTTGCTCACAATCAACATCTCATCTTGCAATCTATCTCTTCTCCCATCTCACAATTCAATATCTCCCTCTCTCCTCTCCTAATAACTCCCTCCCGTGAGCTTACGCTCCTTGCAAGGTTCTATGTCATTCCAAGAACGCATGTAAGGTTGAAGAACAGATACAACAGGTTCTATAGGTGAT